AACACAAGTAACATCGTAACAGGTAACACAACAGGTAACAGCACAACAATAACAGGGAAGACACAAACAACAATAATCAAGAAAATGGCCCCCGGGGTTGGTGATAATTAAGGAGAAAGATGGTTGTTGTGGCATCAAAGGTGATGGTTGCTAAATACTTCTTAAACTGATGAGTGACAGTAGCGAGGTAGCACTGGTAAGTCTGGCTGCACTCCATCTTCTCTTCTACTGCTACAACTCTGTGTAGTGTAGTATACATCTTCGTGTAGTGGTGTACGTATCTTGTGGTGGTATATATCTTTGTAAAGTGTAATGTGGTGGTATGTATCTTCTTGCAGTGTGGCGGTGGTGGTATGTGGAGGTGGTATAGTCGCCTCCGGAGGCGACTTTCCCCGCGGCCCCATCCCAGACCAGACCTGGTTGCTACCATGATCGCTCAAGCTATTGATACCTACTGCCCGCAGTCCGACGTATGTACCATAGCCCGGATGATCAGGAACTGATTCGAGGATTTTGTCATGTTCCCTCCTGATCCCTTTACAAATAAAGAAACGGACGTTGAATATTCGCATTCCCTTTAAAAGCTATTGAATTCTGTGTACACTCATCGCTCCGCTGCTTTTCACCGGAGGTATCCTGCACAGCCTACCAAGATTTTTTTTTTTAGTGTAGTGATTACGGTACTCGCCTAATTGTACTCACCTAATTGTGGTTGCAGGGGTCGAGACTCAGCTCCTGGCCCCGCCTCTTCACTGATTGCTACTAGGTCCTCTCTCTCTCTGCTTCCTGAGCTTTATCATACCTCTTCTTAAAACTATGTATGGTTCCTGCCTCCACTACTTCACTTGCTAGGCTATTCCACTTCCTGACGACTCTATGACTGAAGAAATACTTCCTAACGTCCCTGTGACTCGTCTGAGTCTTCAGCTTCCAGTTCTGACCCCTTGTTCCTGTGTCCCTTCTCTGGAACATCCTATCTCTGTCCACCTTGTCTATTCCCCTCAGTATCTTGTATGTCGTTATCATGTCTCCCCTGACCCTTCTGTCCTCCAGTGTCGTCAGCCCGATTTCCCTCAACCCTTCCTCGTACGACATTCCCCTGAGCTCTGGGACTAGCCTTGTTGCAAACCTTTGTACTCTCTCTAACTTGACGTGCTTGACCAGGTGTGGGTTCCAGACTGGTGCTGCATACTCCAGTATGGGCCTAACATACACAGTGTACAGTGTCTTGAACGATTCCTTATTAAGGTATCGGAACGCTATTCTCAGGTTTGCCAGGCGCCCGTATGCTGCAGCAGTTATTTGGTTGATGTGTGCCTCCGGTGACGTGCTCGGTGTTATGGTCACCCCGAGGTCTTTCTCCCTGAGTGAGGTCTGTAGTCTTTGTCCACCTAGCCTATACTCTGTCTGCGGTCTTCTTTGCCCCTCCCCAATCTTCATGGCTTTGCATTTGGCAGGATTGAATTCGAGAAGCCAGTTTCTGGACCACATGTCCAGCCTGTCCAGGTCTCTTTGCAGTCCTGCCTCATCCTCATCCGATTTAATTCTTCTCATCAACTTCACATCATCTGCGAACAGGGACACTTCAGAGTCTATTCCTTCCGTCATGTCGTTCGCATATATCAAAAATAGCACTGGCCCTAGAACTGACCCCTGTGGGACCCCGCTCGTCACAGGCGCCCACTGTGATACCTCTTCACGTACCATGACTCGTTGCTGCCTCCCTGTCAGGTATTCCCTGATAAGAACATAAGAACATAAGAACGAAGGAACACTGCAGAAGGCCTACTGGCCCATGCGAGGCAGGTCCAAGTCTCCTACCGGCTTAAGCCAATGCACCCAACCTAGTCAGGTCAGGTCACATTGACTTAAGGGAGGAACACGGCAACCGACCTTGTAGCACAAGCTATCAGGTCCAACTCACACCCACCCACATCCACTCATGTATTTATCCAACCTATTTTTAAAGCTACACAACGTTGTGGCCTCTATAACTGTACTCGGGAGTTTGTTCCACTCATCCACAACTCTATTACCAAACCAGTACTTTCCTATATCCTTCCTGAATCTGAATTTTTCCAACTTAAAACCATTGCTGCGATCCATTGCAGTGCCCTCCCTGTTACATGCGCCGGATCCTCCAGCTTCTGCACTAATCTCTTGTGGGAACTGTGTCAAAGGCCTTCCTGCAGTCTAGAAAAACGCAATCAACCCACCCCTCTCTCTCGTGTCTTACTTATGTTACCTTGTCATAAAACTCCAGGAGGTTTGTGATACAAGATTTGCCTTCCATGAACCCATGCTGGTTTTCATTTATAATCGTGTTCCGTTCCAGGTGTTCGACCACTCTCCTCCTGATAATCTTCTCCATGACTTTGCACACAATATATGTCAGAGACACAGGTCTGTAGTTTAGCACCTCGTTTCTGTTTCCTTTCTTAAATATGGGGACTACATTTGCTGTCTTCCATTTCTCAGGTAGTTGCCCACTTTCAAGGGATGTGTTGAAGAATGTGGTTAGAGGCACGTACAGCATCTCTGCTCCTTCTCTAAGGACCCATGGGAAGATGTCCGGTCCCATCGCCTTTGAGGTATCAAGGTCACTTAGCAGCTTCTTCACCTCCTCCTCGGTTGTTCGTATGTCATCCAACACTTGGTGGTATATTCCCTCTTATGCATATTTGGGTGTTAGTAGTGCAATATATATATATATATATATATATATATATATATATATATATATATATATATATATATATATATATATATATATATATATATATATATGTGCCAATATATATATATATATATATATATATATATATATATATATATATATATATATATATATATATATATATATATATGCCAATACCATCATATGTAGCATCCCCCTGTATGCCACACCAGTGTCACGTGACTTTCCCTTTTGAACCATGCACACTAGGCCTCAGGCCTCGGTTAGAATTCAGACCAGACCTATCTAAGAGCAAGAGGTCAAACTAATTATGATACTCTTCACGTCACTCCTCGTCTCTAGGCCGGAATATTGCTGAATATTAACGGTCCCCTTCAGGGCAGACGAAATTGCAGAAATGGGATATGCATGGAGAACTTTCACTGCTCGTATAACCTCAGATACCTAAATTACTGAGAATGCTTGAAGTTCCTCAAGAGAGTAGTTTAGAAAGATACATTATAATGTACACCTGGAAAATTCTGCAGGGACTGGTCCCAAACCTTCGCTCTGAAATTACTACTTAGGAAAGTACAAGGCTTGGCAGACAGATACCTCCAATGAAAAGCTGACACAATGAGTACACAGAGAGAACTCAATAAGCGTAAGGAGACCTCGACTCAACGTCCTTCCACCTACAAGAGGAACTGGATACGTTAAAGTCAGTTCCTGACCAACCAGGGTGTGGTGCACACATTGGACTCTGGGCAGCGAGCACCAACAGTCTAATCGATCAGGCCAGTGACCAGGAGGCTCAGTTTGCGACCAGGCCGCGGGGTGGCGACCCCCGGAAGCATCTACAAGTAACCTACGTTCTAAGGAGTTTGCGGGACCTCTGAGCCCCCAGTAATTTAGGTGCTTAACCGAGTTTATGAGAGCTGTGAAGGTTCTCTGTATATTTTGCAGTTCTGCAATTTCGCCTGCCTTGAAGGTGGCCATATTCCAGCCTAGAGAGAACGAGTTACTTGAAGGGTGTCATCAGTGGCTTGACCTTTCTCGCTTTCAATGTTCTAGTCATCCAGCTTATCATTTTACTTGCAGTTGTGATAATGATATTGTTGTGTTCTTTGAACGTAGTGTAATGTAGTGATGTGATTTAATGGCACTGATGTGTTGTGACGGTGTATTGAAGGGATTTGGCGCCGGTGTACTGCAGGGTGTTGGCGCCGTGTTCTTGGTAGCGGTGTTGGTGTCGTGTTCTTGGTGGTGGTGTTTGCGCCGCTGTTATTGGTGGTGGTTCTGGCGCCGGTGTTGTTGGTGATGGAGTTGGCTGACGCTAGTAGCGTCAGCGCCGGTGTCACTGTCGCTGGTAGCGTTGGCGCCGGTGTCACTGTCAGTGTTGGCACCGGTGTTGGGTGGCGGTGGGTGGAGTGGTATGGTGTAGTTGTGCGGTGGGCAAAAGCCACACAATCACTGTCATTATCCAAACTGGTGGTGAGAGCTTACAGCCAGCCAGCACGGCAGCTTTCATCAGACAAACCCACCACGCACAAACAAAATCCTCCTCATTACCCATCAAATCCGCGAGATTTAAACTTCCAAGACACGAAGGAAATCACTAACGGTATAATACACATTAATCTGCTCTAATATAACGTTAAGACGAATTGAAGATGGATTATAATTAAATAAAGACGCATGACGTACATTATATACGCCAGAAATAGAAATAATGACTAAAAGATCATACAGTTGAGAGATGTAACAGTATATTTTTAGCTAGTTAATTGTAACTATTATATGTACAACATTATATGTACATCATTACTACGTTAAAAAAATACAAGCGTCTACAGTAAAAAAATGTGACTAGCTCCAAGCTAGACTTTCTACAGGATACTTTAAACTTGTGTGGTAAGTGGTAAGGTCACCAATAATCAGAAGGAAGTTTGAAGAAGTGTTAACTAGACAAAATTCTAGTTCCCGCTTCTCTAAAGAGAGGGCACTACTAACTCGCTTCCAACACCTCCATAGAGAATTGTAAAGGGTGTTTACAACAGTAATAGTGGTGTTGGGACAGATCTAGAAGACTGGTGAGTCAACTATACTATGTAAACAAAGAGGCAATATTATGGTTGTGTGCGGCAAGGAACTGGTCAGCTGTAAAGTCACTGCGGTGTTTCTGCAGCAGCTCCAGCAGGAGTGAGAGGATGGTGGTGGTCCTCGGGAGGAGAGGAATAGTGGTGGTGACCGCTGAGAGGTGCGGAGTGAGAGTGGGCAAGTAGTTAGTGGTGGTGGTTGAGATTGTTGGCGGAGTACGTAC